TGGATTTAAAAGGGATTAAATGCATGTTAATAGACATGCAAATGTGATCCTGTAAATCCACTGTATGTTGAAACACTAGGGGTGTAGTGTTACGTTTGTGCTTGACCTCTTTTATCTGCTATCAGTCCTCAATTTGCCATTAGTGATGAAGTTCGGCTCTTTTCAAAGATTCGGCTCTTTTGGCTCGGCTTCCTTAGAAGAGCCGGCTCTTTCGGCTCCCAAATGGCTCTTTATTTAGTATCACTTCTATTTAATTTATTTAGCCTTCTATTTTAGCCAAATTTAGCAATTGTGAATGGTTTGTGTGTTGGTAATCAAATTTTTTTTTAATTCAGTGTTTTCATAAAAGCCTTTTTTTATGCAGTTTTTTTTTCGTTACAAAAAAAAGACTATTTAACATTTTAATAAAACTTTATTTGAACAATTGAACACAGAACCACAGCAAACAAATAAAGGCGAAAGTCTTAACATTAAGACACTTTAGTCTTTAGTGCAGGTTGGAAAAAAAAAAAGTTACTTTTATTTAACATTTTAATAAAACTTTAATTGAACACAGAACCACAGCAAACAAATCAAATAAATAAAGGCAAAAGTCTTAACATTAAGACTTTAGTGCAGGTTGGCATTCAGAAATATCAGATGCCTCAGCTTGGGTGTGCTGATGCTATTTCTCCTCTCTGTGATTATTTGTCCTGTTTTTGAGAAGACTCTCTCTGAGGGGACCGATGTTGCAACAATGCAGTGTCTTCCTAACTTCTTAACCAACGTGCTTGCGTTTAAATCCGGCTCCTCTCCACTGTTGCCAACTCTCGCGAGACGACTAAGCAATCGCAGCTTCAAAAACAAGCCCAATATTTTTTGATAATTTATCATCAATATTATTTATTATCAATTATTTATTACCAATAAATGAGCCCGCAACATATTAAACTGAAACTACCCTTTTATCTGAAAAGCAAAAACATAAGTTATTTTACAAAAATCAGCAAACTGCAACAAAGCATGAACAAAACTCATCTCCAATCACCTGTGAGCAGAATAAGATTGGACGGATAGAAAAGGAGAAAAACACAAGAGCTTCAAAGGGGAGCTGTAACATAGCCACATATTTATAGCCTACTAAAATATTGGCTATTCGAACCAAATCTTCTTAGTATAGGCCTACTTGTTTTTTTTTTTGTTTTTTTTTACAGCCCGTGATAATTAATACATTACAAAAACTAGGCTACCTTATAAAGGAAAAAAGGTATCCCACTCTACGTCTACTACTATCATCGCTTGGATTACAGCGTCATGTGCCTTCTTTTTGAATGTGATTTTTCTTCAATCCCTCACTGAAGAAAAAAAAAAAGGAGGGGGCGGAATATTGGACAAATTATGCTACAGCACTTATATTTTTGCACTGATTGGCTATTAACTGTGAGCAGACAGGGTGTCAATCAATGCATTGGAGAATACAGTGAACATAAGTGAAAAGAAACGAAGTTGCTTGTCAGGTTTTCCTAACAAATAACCATATTTTTTAAAATAAGCCCAAAAAACCGCAACCCGCGACATGGTATTTTTTTCACGCAACTTTACAAAAAAAGAAGCCCAAAGTCGCGTATAATACGCGGACTTGGCAACTCTGCTCCTCTCTGTCGCTTTAGGGCCTTTCGCACCGCGGGAACCTTTTCATAGTACCAGAACTAATTGTGGAACTACCCACTTTTTGGCGTTTTCACACCGCCAGAACTGGGTGCGATTTTAGTACCGGACTGCCTTTTGTAAACATTGTGTCAACTTATTTCGCAAGTATAGAGAACAGCGATAGATGGACGGATGCTGAAGTGCAGGCACTTGTAACAAATGTAGCACTGCCAGTTGTCGTTGGAGATTCTTAGTCCTCCTTTCCGTTCTTTCAATCGCTTTACGTATACGTCGACTTTCCATGTCCATTATTGTGTAACCCGCGAGACACAACAAACACACAGCGTCCTCCATCCTCCTGTTGTTAACGTTGTTCTTCTTATTATTCGTTTTTTATTGGCGGCTCGCAATCACCAATTGAGCATTACCGCCATCTACTGAAGCAATGGATCAGAGACTTGAATTCCCTTTTCCCAGACCTATCAGAACTCAAGCTTTCGATGTTGCTGCGTGTTCAGCTGTTAACGTTGTTCTTCTTTGTTTCTGTTGTTGAACGCCGCGCACAAATGACGTCGCTGTCGACCGGCTTACGTCACTTCCTAGTACATACTGTCGGTGCGAATGCAACCCTTTAAATGGTACTGGGAAATAGTTCCCGCAAAATCGTCCCAGTACTTTAGTACTGTACATTTAGTTCTGGAACTAAAGCGGTGCGAAAGGCCCTTTTGTGTACCTGGCCTTTTACCACTACACTCGCTATCTTCGGAGCGTGTGTCCCCCTTCTTTCTTTCACATAATGGTATGATCTTATCCTTGTAACGAAAAAATGCATACAAATAAAATAATAAAAAATAATGCTTTTATGAAAACTGTAAATAAAAATTGCTTACCAACACACAAACCATTCACAATTGCTAAACTGGCCTAAAATAGAAGGCTCCGGCTGAAGATTCGGCTCTCCCCGACGGGAGTCGGCTCTTCTCCTTCGCTACAAAGAATCGGCTCTTAGAGCCGACTCGTTCGCGAACGACACATCACTATTTGCCATAACGGAAATTGTGAAAAATAAAACTGGTCTGTGCTTTTGAAAACTGCAATGGAAATTATATTCCTTTCCACACATCAATGTATTAAATTAAACTTTTTTTTCCCCTTTTCTTTCATGCACATGTTTCAGTGCACTCCAATTATCACATGACGCTCTCAGGGCAGGGGCATTATGTGCAGGGTTGCCAGATCTGCATGTCCGGTCAAACATACAATCATTTGATACATTTAATAAATCATTATTCTACGTTGTGTGCAAAATGTTAAACCCTCAAATCACGAAAATTGTTTAAAAGTGCCTTAATTAATTACGTCGGAAAATATGGACTTGGCAACTCTGTTTATGACGTCACCTGAAAAGCGAGCAACGTTTTCAACGGGCGTCTGTGCGCAGTACCGAACATGTGCGCGCAGCTCTTCTACTCTCGGCCTCACATGTCCGCACACACCCGGCGCTGCTGATTGGCTTACAGGAGCGCGCTGCGTCATTCCGCCCTGTGAGAACCACGTGGCGCTGTAGTAGAACAGCTGAGCGCTCGAGCTCTGGCACATTTTACAGGCGCGTGTGAGGCTCAAGAAGATTTGATTTCTCGGGAGTTTTGCTCCAATGGCTCAGTCTGACGCGCACGTTTCCTTGACTGCCATTATGTTTCGCACATTGCATTCTTATCCTTTCCATTCATCAGTTCCATGCCCCACTTCGCCATTTTTAATGGCCAGAATGTTAATTTGTAATCTAAATGCACTCATAAATGATAGTCACTAATGATACTCCTAAGTGATTTGACTGACACCAATTTACATAAAGCATAAAAGCTGCAATATTCACACTTTGGATACTTTCACACTAAGTGTTAACTGGTCATACTTCCTGTATTTGGCTCAGCAGATAGTCAGCGGTCAGGATTACAAAAGAGCCAACACATGGACAGCCGAATGTAGTTACACGAATACGTCGTTTCTTCGCCACTCCTCCTCTTGTTATGTTTCGTGTCAGTCCTGTCCAGGTCCTGTCATACCGTCTCGTTCCTCCTCTCCACGTGCCTGATCACAGCATTGGCCATGCCACTCGTTCCTCTGCGTCACTCGTGTTTGGGGCGGGATTAGGTGGAATCTCTTTACCGCTATTGGCCCGGTTGCGTGCCTACCACACAAATGGGCGGGCTCCAAGAATGTGGGGCGGGGCTTACTGCAGGTGGAGTTGTCAGTCTGCAATTTTGAAGTAGGGGCTGGAGACGACCAGAAAAAAGTGCAGGCAAAAGTAATGTGGCTCGGTCACGCTGAGTGGTCATCATCCTTGTCAGCGAGATGACGGGAGGTACAGATTGCCCCTGGACAGGTAGTTAGGAGTGTGTGCTACCCTGGACGAAGAAGAGCCGAATACTCGGGACCAGGATCAGTGTTGTACATTACTAAGGTAGGCAGTGCTGATGTTGTATTCATATTCATATTAATATTTGACTTACCCTGCAAAATGCTGTCTTTTGCTCTGTAGGTGCTTATTTTTGCCCATTTGCACTGATACTTTATCTGTCTGACAGGGTATCGTAAGTTCCATCTTTATTTGCACGTAAAGGTTGTCTATGCAGGTGATAAAAGCACGTTATTTCGACGGTGTCCGTGGTGTCAACAGGAGGAAGTTGAGACAGATCGGCTGTTGTTGTAGTATTACATAACAGCAAGGGAAGGGAGGGCTCAGAGCTCCGTGTGTGTGTGTCTAACCTTCCTCCTGGCAGGATAATTCATGTCACAGACCTACCAAGAATTATGAAATATTTGCTCAGATTTTTTGTGCTCATAATACTGTATTGTTACAAAGGTCCTGAGATCCCGACAGTGTATTATATTCGGAGACAGCTTCTTTGCGACTTCAAAAATGTAGAAAATTTCTGGACTGAAAAAAACAAACAAAAAAAAACCACTAAAGCAAAACGAAAGGCTAAAATCACTGTAACGCACGGGATCTTGTGGCTTATTGCTTTTATACAACGAATGGAATAGCATTATGACAAAGCACTAGGCTATTAAATAGCCTACTAAAATAATAAAAAATGGTGACATTTTTATGAAAGTAGTGATAGTTAAATTAATAATGATAATCAGAATGAACAATTATCTAGCCAACTAATAAGTTTGAAAAATATAACCAAGACCATGATGGCAAAAAAAAAAAAAAAAAAAAAAAAAATTTTTATATTAGGGCTATAAAAATGGAGGGGAATGGATTTTTCCCA